ATGATACACCTAATCGAGTCGGGCAGGAGGTCACTGTGCCGATGTTGCCGATTCGCCATGCTGCCCGAATGCGGATCGACATTTTTCACCCAGAGGCGCTGACTTTGCTGTTCGAGCCTCATTGCAAGACTGATACCGGACCTGCGTTTGGAGTCGTATTTATATATCCTCGGATAGGAGGGTGACCTAACCGGACGGTATCTCGGTTTTGAACAGGTGTTTTTGGGTTCCCAAGTTGGTTTTTGCGGTTTAAACCCTGGTTTCAGTAATTCGAAACAGGGTTTTCCGGTTTTCAATGTGGTTTTTGTGGTTTTAAACCTGGTTTCAGTGGTTTAAAACAGGGTTTTCCGGTTTTCAACTCGGTTTTTGTGGTTTTAAACCTGGTTTCAGTGGTTTCAAACAGGGTTTTCCGGTTTTCAATGTGGTTTTTCTCGTTTTGAACAAGGTTCTACCGGTTATAATTGTGGTGTTTCTGGTTTGAATCAGGGTTCCTTCGGTTTCAAATGTGGTTATATTGCCTCCTTGACTCGGTTTTTGGAGATTAAACTGGATTAAAGTGGTTTCAAAGGGGGGTATTCTCGGTTCCGAACTGGAGTTTGTCGGTTTCCAATGTGGTTCTTCTGGTTTTTAACAAGGTTCCGGAGATGACAATCGTGTTTAATGGTTTTAACCTCGGGTTTTCTGGTTCTGAACAGAGATTCTCCGGTTTGGAATGTGGTTATATCGGTTTTGGACTCAGTTTAAGGGGGTTTTAAACTGAAATATGGTGGAACCTAAATGTGTTTTGTGGTTTAAAACCTGGTTTCATTGGTTGTAAACCTGGTTTCAGTGGTTTTAAACCTGGTTTTAGTGGTTTTAAACCTGCTTTCATTGGATTTAAACCTGGTTTCGGTGCTTTAACCCGGTTTCAGTTGTTTTAAACCTGGTTTCAGTTGTTTTAAACCTGGTTTCAGTGGTTTTAAACTTGGTTTCAGTGCTTTAACCCGGTTTCAGTGGTTTTAAACCTGGTTTCAGTGGTTTTAAACTTGGTTTCAGTGGTTTTAAACTTGGGTTTTCAAAGTGGTTTTCCTAGTTTGAAACAGGGTTCCTTCGGTTTCAAATTTGGTTATTTTGGTTTTTTATTTCGGTTTTTGAGGGCTAAACTCGATTACTGTGATTCCAAAGTGCAGTTTGGCGGTTTTAGACTTGGGTTTCCCGGTTATAAACTGGGTTTTTCCGTTTGGATTCCGCTTCTGATTTTCAACTTTGTGAACGGGTTCACATAAGTGTTTTAAAGAGTCTCCTGACCAATCAGAGCTCAGTCGAGGAACGGTATATAAGAAGTCGCTCGTGTTGTGCGAAACTTAGTTGACATCATGGCGTTGAAAAGGAAACACGGGAACGGTGTGTTGAACAAGCTCATCAACTTGCTCCCGATCGAGGCGCACATTCCGGGAGGGTACCGATACTGCGGGCCTGGAACGAAACTGGAGAAGCGTCTGGCTCGTGGAGATGCTCCGATCAACGGACTGGATGCTGCTTGCAAGGAACACGACATGTTTTATAGCAAGAACACTGACACAGCCGAAAGGAACAAAGCGGATCTGGAGTTGGCCGACAAAGCCTGGCAACGCGTCACAGCGGGAGATTCTTCACTCGGAGAACGTGCCGCTGCCTATGCCGTCACCAACGCCATGAAACTAAAAGCGAAAATGGGAATGGGAAGTCCCAAGAACAAGACCAAGAAGAAAAATTCACCGATCGTCGGTTCGTGCATTTCGAAGGATGCCAAAACACCTCCCAAGCGAAAGAAAGTCACTACCCGTGTGATTCCACTACCGAAAGAGGGGGATGCAGGTGTGAAAGTGGTGTTGAAGCAACTCGGCGTGAAGCCTGATTCTATCGATCCGACGTCCAAGAAAATAAAGTCTACCATCGCCAAAAAATCGAAGGAGGTTCGTGTCGGCAAAGGTCTCTATCTCGCGCCTTACCGTTCCGGATACGGACTCTACCTGAGACCCTGGGCTCCTGATTTAAACTAATCAACGAGCTACCACTGAAACCGTTGACCGATATCGAGTTGAAACGTGTGGCGAAGAAACTCAAAATCCCACATTTTCGGGGTGTTTTTATGCGCGATCAACTGAACAACATGAAACCCGAAGAAAACGAGTGTGCAATCATCAATTTGGATTCTAGTAAAGGATCTGGAACACATTGGGTCGCCTACAGCAAGAGAGGCTCTCGTACCCTCTACTACAATAGTTTTGGTGATGTTGCGCCACCATCGGAACTCACTCGATACCTCGGTGGTAGCTCGTTAATCGAGTACAATTTCAGCGCAGAACAGGCTTACGGAACCGTCATTTGCGGCCATCTTTGTCTCTCGTTTCTTATAAAAGCAGCGCGTCACTGGGATCCGACGTCACAATGAGTGAGACTATCCTGCTGAGTGGAAGGAGCAACGTGCTCGAAAATGTTTTCTCACCACCTCTGGTGCTGGATCCCGGCAAAACCCATTATGTTGGACTCGTCGAGTTTGTCGCTTACAACGCGATACCGAACGTGGACCATACGAATCAAAAGTTTCGTTACGGGGCTGACAAGGAAGAGATCGTCATACCTCGTGGAGCCTACGAAATCACAGCTATAGAAGAATACCTGAAAGAGAAATTGGGCGCCGACAATCTCACGCTGAAAGCCAACAACAATACTCTAAAGTGCTCCCTCAAATGTGCATACGAAGTGGATTTCAATAATGAAGCTTCGATAGGTCGATTGTTGGGATTCGAGAAGAAAGTTTACGAAGCAAATACGTGGCACGAGTCTGCATTGCCTATCGATATTTTCACCATCAACACGATCAGGGTCGAATGCAATATCGCGACAGGATGTTATATGAACGGATCCATCGCTCATACGATTTTCGCCTTTAGCCCCAATGTCCCACCCGGCTACAAGATGGCGCTGTCTCCGCGGACAATCATTTACAATCGTATAAATACCTCGACGATCGATCGATTGAGTATCAGTATTGTCGATCAAGACGATAAGCCGGTCGATTTCGGAGGAGAAGTGGTGACTGTTCGTCTGCATATCAAATCAGATGGGTAAGCGAAGAGGCTTAAATAGGTCGTGCGCTTTGCATCTCAAGCTCAGTCCGAGACAGACGCGCAAGCGCTTAACACCTTACTTCAGAAGTGCTCTCCAGCAACTCGGATACATTGTTATCGATTGATTGTCGCCATGGATCGTTTCAAGGACATCAAGTATTATCAGGATCATAAATATCACCCGTACATCTCCAGTTTCCGGAACACCGACGAGATCCGGATTCCGATCAATAGCCAGGATTTGTATACCGTGCCCGGTGATTCCAAAATCTACATTGAAGGAACTCTGACCTACACGCCAAAGAGGGCTGACGCGGCTGCTGACGATGGCAAGACTGTACTTTTATCCAACAACGCCTTCGCCTTCTTATTCGATCAAGTGCGTTACGAGTTGGACGGCAAGGAAGTGGATCGAGCCAAGAACGTGGGCATCTCCAGTACCGTCCGCACCCTGCTGACTTGCACCAAGGATGAAGTTGCGGGACTTGAAAACGCCGGTTGGGGCTCACCTGTTGTCAACGTGAGCGACAAGTCGTTCAGCGCTCTCATTCCGCTGAGTCTCTTCCTGGGCTTTGCTCACGATTACAAGGGCGCCATTTTCCGTCAGAAACAAGAACTCGTGCTCATCCGTGCTCGCACCGATAAGAACGCATATACGCTGAAGGAAGGTGCCGAATCTGATGCTGCATCCCTCAATCTCACCAAAGTTCAATGGCTCATGCCGCAAATCAAGTACAATTTGAGTGTGGAGAAAGCCATTCTGGACGAGATCAGACGTGACACTTCTTATCCGTTGTCGTTCCGCAGCTGGGAATTGCACGAGTACCCTCAATTGCCGACCAATCAAAGGGAGACTTGGAAGCTCATGACGACCAGCAATGTGGAGGCTCCGTCATTCATCGTTCTAGTATTCCAGACCAACAGATCCGACAACGAGAAGGTGGATGCCAGTAAATTCGACCATATTAAGCTGCGCTCTTTCAAAGTCCATTTGAACAACAATTCTATCCCGTACGAGAATCTGAACGAGGATTTTGACAACGACAAGTTTGCTTTCTTCTATCAGAACTACCTCAACTTTATAACGGACTTTTCACAAGAGGAAAAGCTGTGCGAACCTCCTCTCTCCAAGAAGAAGTTCAAAGAAGAGAATCCGATGTTCGTGATGCGATGCTTGTACGAAGATGTCCTGAAACCGGGCCCCCTGGATATTCAAATCGATTTGGAAGCACACGAAAATATCCCACAAGGAACATCCGCTTACGCTATTCTGGTTCACAACGTAACGTTCTCTTATCAATCACTTTCAGGAACTGTAAAGAAAATCCACTGACTTTTCGTGTCTTTAATATTTCCTCGAATTTTCAATTTTCTTTGAAATTTGTAGTACTTAGTTTGTAAGATTTTCAAGAAGCGTCTAGCTGTACGATTAGGATGTAAGATTCACGATATTTCATTCTAATGCATTTTATGTAACGCTTTCTTTTTAACGGTAATAAAATACCAATAAACCGAACCCTTTGTTTCTTACTTTATTTTCCTGTTATCAGCATGGGTCGGGGGGTGCGAACGATGGTGTAAAAGCATTAAATTATAACCGGGGGAGCGGCAACGTCGCAGAGATGAAGGAGTCACGAGGTGGCAACGTCGGGCAGGTTCGGAACTTGTTCCCGGTCGCTCGAAGGAAAAGAGACCCGAACAGGTTCAGACTTGTCCCGGCAGGCTCAGACTCGTTCGGACAGCGTTCGATCCGAGCGCGGCTCTGCGCCTTTGATGCAGGTTTAAACCGGTGGCGTGGCGTGAATGATCGATTGTCGATATCTCGCCATTTGAAGCTATGGTAAAGAATCGATTAGTAAGGTGTTCACTGCGAGCACCCTGATAATCGATCTTTTTTCATAGGTTTAAATGACAGATCAATCGATAAATCGCAAAGCACGCCACGCCACTGGACTTTAAACTTGGTCGCACCCTGAACGGCGGCAACCCGCATGTTATCGCCTGGAGTATGTAAGGTATGCAACCCGCATTTCATGGGAGTCGTGAGGGCTGCATTTCACAAATTATCGCTGAGCACCGGCGAGGTGCGCGACCAACATAGGACGCCTCCCGTCCGTAAGGTATGCAACCCGCATTTCATAGGAGTCGTGAGGAATGCACATCACAAATTATCGCTGAGCACCGGCGAGGTGCGCGACCAACATAGGACGCCTCCCGTCCGTAAGGTATGCAACCCGCATTTCATAGGAGTCGTGAGGAATGCACATCACAAATTATCGCTGAGCACCGGCGAGGTGCGCGACCAACATAGGACGCCTCCCGTCCGTAAGGTATGCAACCCGCATTTCATAGGAGTCGTGAGGAATGCACATCACAAATTATCGCTGAGCACCGGCGAGGTGCGCGACCAACATAGGACGCCTCCCGTCCGTAAGGTATGCAACCCGCATTTCATAGGAGTCGTGAGGAATGCACATCACAAATTATCGCTGAGCACCGGCGAGGTGCGCGACCAACATAGGACGCCTCCCGTCCGTAAGGTATGCAACCCGCATATCTGCACCTTAGGTCGACGAGGCACGCAACCCGCGACTGAAATGGACTTAGGTTAGGTTAGGTTAGGTTTGGTTAGGTTAGGTTAGGTTAGGTTAGGTCACACGGAAACGCTGTACTTGGGTTAGGTCACACGGCAACGCTGTACTTGGGTTAGGTCACACGGCAACACTGAACTTAGGTTAGGTTACATTTCGATACCTCAGGTGTGCGTAAGTCGCCATTTATCTCAGGTGGCCGTAGATCGGCATTTCCCCTCTACTTATATGTAGCACGCATTTTATGAAAAACTAAATGTTTAAAGGATAAGAGAAGTGATGCCAAGGGTTACAATCTGTCTTCCCTCCAGATTTCTGTACTTTCAGCGTTTTTGGACATCATGTGGATTACATTTCGCATTAAGGAACCGCTATCTCTAGCTCTTCCTTGAAAGCACGTATCTGCATCGGGAAACCATATATGGCATATATGTTGTTTCCTAAATGAGCCAGAAATAATGGTTACTTATTGCTAAATGTAATCCATGTGATCTATATTTAGACGTATTTACGCCAAAAGGAACTATGTACGAATGAATCAAATAAAAAAGAACTATGAATTACGTAAATCATGTGCACACGGTTCCTTTTAGCATTTAACGAAAATGAGTAATTCAGACAGTCACTGAATCTCTTTACTGAGATTTACTGCCCGTGAGGTCTAAATGTCGAAAAATACGATTTTCTTAAGTTTTTTCCCAAGTTCAATGTCTTGAATTTGACCTTATCGCAAGTCAGTATTAGAGTGCAGTTTGGATATTTTTTTTTTCTGTAGAATTTAAAAGGTCAATCAACACAAAAATCATTCTGGTACACCTAATCGTTTGCGGTCTAGTCCAAAAATACTGAACCCGAGAAACATCATGAAACATGGTCATTGTGACTTCTAGAACCATATTTATCATACACTGCATCCTGTCAAACTATCGGCTCAGTGTGACTCTCTCATTTAAAAAAAATTAGGTAGTTTTCTTAAGCTTTGTAAACTTATTCCAGAAGTACCAAACTCTAGATGAAAGTGACCTCGGATTTTCAGAGCTTGTACCTTAATATCAGGGTCCATTTGTTCAAGTATTGCACCCTCTTCGACTCGGATTTCAGTCTGAAAATACACAGGAGAAAAAAAAAGTCTGGCAAAGTCCGTCAATCGACATGGCATCGATGTCGACGCTGATTCAAAATGTGACCCCAAAAAATGCAGATCAGAGTCAAAATCCTAAATATCCCCTACCTTACTCAAAAGTCATTTCATCTCCTCAGTCGTCTTAAAATTGAGGATGCTGTATAGACCTTTTAAATTGAAGGTTCCGAGGATAAGCATGCTTATCTCCTGCCTGCTAAATTGAAGCCATTTTTACTGCCGTGCTAAGGAGGAACGCCTTAGGAGCCTCCAGACGTTGCCAAATTTCCTCCGATGTAATACGAATTTTCGCGGGAACTGTTGAATATTTTTCTTCAAATTTTTTAGACAATTTTGTACTTTTTTTTTAGCCTAAAACGTCTCAAAATTTCAAGGAAAACTATGCGCAACTTCCCTGAAAAATGCATTTTTTACCCGGAGAAATTTGGCAACTCTCGAATGTACATACGGCGTTCTTCCACAGCACGGCAGTTTAGCCCCCTCGCCTTCCACTAATCCGCCTCAGCGAGACGCTGTACAAGGGGACGAATTAGGTATGCGGTTCTCGGAGGAGCACTTTTAAAAGTCGAAAGTTGGGCTTAATTGCAGGCGTTGCTCATTCGGCGATGAACCCGCTCCGGAGGCACCCCCCCCCTCCCCTCCCTTTCTATTCCCATTCTACTCTGAGAGTTGCTCAACAAGTTGAGAGTCGAGTGGAGAGGGCACCAAAGTCAACACTCGGTGCGCATCAGGGGAGAAAGTATACATTCTTTAAAACGTTTTATTTGCCAAATAGGATTTGTAAACAGCCCCAGCCCTCCAAGTTTCCACGCTCACTGCTGCAGACTTTGATTTTCCGTCATCTGTCTTTGGTGTTGTCAAATGGACCTCGTTTAACAGCAGGGTGTGTACCAACCCGGAATTTCCGGAAAGTCCGAAAATAGTATACTGATTTTTAAGGGCAGTCCGGAAGTACTGAAAAAGTGCGGAAATTCCGTAAGAAAGTCCGGAGTTTTTGTCATTTTTGTCGCAATTTTAGCGAGCAACTCAAATTTTTGAAATTTTTTGAATTTCCTCTAATGAATGTACTGAAAAAGTACTGGATTTTTCTGTTGAGGAGGGACTGAATTCCTCGGGAATGTACTGAAAAAGTACTGTAAAAGTACTAATTTTTAGCCTGTCTGTTTTAGTAGACACCCTGTATAACACCTGCAACAGGGAGAAACTAAAATTTTTGCCCTCTGTCAGAAATATCCTATCTGTCAATGTTAACACAAATGTTCACTCTCGCAATGAGCCCGTGTACTTGGTTCTGCACTAAACAAAAGTTACGGGTTATATAGTCATACCTTCCGTTCCCGGCTCAGGGGTCGAAAGTTCCAGGTGCTGGAGCCGTAGCTTTGACTGCTCCGGGTCCTACACCCGGAACTTTCGGCCTGTGACCCCGGAACGCGGACGTGACAGTATGCCTATATAACCTGTCAGCACGGCTTCCGCGACTGCAGTTACTTTTTTCAATGGGCTTTGCTAAACTTAGTCTGAAAAGAGTTTTGAAATGTCTCGGACGTATCGTACAATTATTGAATAATCGTGATAGTGAAGGCTGATTATTGAATTTCATAGACAAAGCGAAGAGTACACAAGGAAAATAGAGCGATGTTATTGGTTAAAATGGATTTTTGTTAAAAATTAAGAGGAATAATGATGGACTAATCACAGGGTTTCTCTTATGTTGCTGTTAGTAAGTCTATTACTTACCTCCTCCGTCCACTACAACCACCGTCTTTCATTTGTAAGATCGCTCTATTATCTTTTTGTCTTCTTTATCTACAGCTTTGTCTGTCGATTTCAATTTTCAGCCGTCGAATTTAATTCTATCGCTTTTCTCAATCGGAAAGATAAATGTAACTTCTGAGCATGCCGACGTTATATTACAACAGAGAATTGACCTTTAGCCAAAGTGAGAAATGAAACATCACCTTACAATCTCTCTCATCGAAAATTCACGCAGAACAGGGTGGTCTCTAATCGGACCACATTTGGCAATTATGAATTTCTTGAATTTCTTTGTTATGAAAACTAGAATTTCTTGCTCAGTTTAGAAACAACGTAAGTATCATTAGTTTCCCCTTGCACATAAGCGTTTTTAGGTATGTGCCAGAACTTGTAGTTCCTAATCGTAAAATGCAGTCAAATTCTAATCATGAATGATGCTAAGCGTTTTATTTATTCGTCGATCAAAACTACTCACATACCCCCCCCCCCCCCCTGCCCCCGCCAAAAAACAAGTTCAAGTAAGGTGATTAAATAATGTAGCCGATTTTAAGGTTCCATCAGCTTCTTGATTTCTGCCCAGTGCCTCTTCCTCCACAGCAAAAGAACAAGCGAAAATTGATCGAAATCGATAGGTTTTTGTAATTAAAAGTTGAGCCGTGCAGCTTAAGCAGCGACGTTATATGCGAAGGTGGGTGCCAACTACAAAAGGAGATACCAAACTAGTGCTTTAGGTCGACGAGAAGAATGAAACGGGAGCGTAAAAGAAGAAGCTCCAGTCAACTTACTTAGCTAGAATATCAAAGAGACGTTCTTTTTGATGTCAAAGCCCGACGAGGTGTACTTATTGGCAACTTCCGGAAACCTCTAGCGTCCTGCGCGCCCGCCACGATGAGATTGTTTATATATATCGAGTCCTTCAGGGCACTCGGGGTTCTCTCCCAATTTTCAGTAGGCTGATGCGGAATTCAGTCATCAGATTTAAACGCCTTAAGGCTTCCTTCTTAATTAAGGGGCAAATGTTCGGATACGAATATCAAAGGGAGTTAGAATTACCAAAAAATAGGGGCTCATTCCGGAAACCGCTCTGTAAACAAATGGAAGCATCCGCTTCTAAAGATATTTGAAAGTGGAAGTAGATGTCTTTTTTGTGATTGAATGTTACTTCGGTTGCCTTCAAAGGCGCAAGGATGTCGATTTGAGGACTAGGTTCATTTCGAAGAAGTTTTTCTAAGAATTAATCTCCGATTCGATTATCGGTAGATTTTAACATTTACTCTTCGCAAGTCAGAAATTCCTGGTGAAAAATTGATCGTCATATCAAGTGTGCTTCTTTATGAAAAACTCCATCTTAAATACATGCCTCTATGCTAACTTGTCCAAAATTAACTCGAAAAGTTAACCCTTCGGGTTGATAAAGTTGCAATGATACACACTTAAGTAAAATATATCCATATCAATATCATTTAGTATTTAAAATTTTAATAGTTTTCATAAAATTAAAAGTGTACACATTGCGAAAACGTTAAACAGCAGCGGATTACATAATTAAAAATACACAAAGATTCATGGCTAAAAATTACTAAAAGTTGAGTTCATCCATTGATTATGAAGGAGCGTATCTTCATTGCAGCAGATAAGAATAGAAACAGAGATTTTATGTGTTCTTTTATCGTATTTTTTTTATAAGATCTGAGGAGTTGTCGGTATATTTCCAAGAAAGAAGTTCCTGACGTCATTATACAATTATACATAGGACAATCAAATAGTATGTGATCTAAATCCAACTGCTGCAAATTAAACCAAGAGCAAATTTCTCCGATGGAAATGTTATCGAGAGCAATGTACTCCGTTGAAAGAACACCATTTCGTGAGGGCGGTACAAAGAGATCCGAACATGGAGATATGAGAAGCATCTCGACAATACTATTGAGACGTAACTTGCCGCGGTCTCAAAGGGAAAAGGAAAAGTTTTTTGTTCAAGTTTTATGCGGTGGAGAGCGGGGGTTGGGGAACACCGGGCGCGTGTATAGGGTGATTTGCGGGCGGATTTAAATAAAAACCCAATTTTTCAATCCAAGCCATACTCTCGCCAAGCGGAATTGAATAAACCACTGCCTTGTGCTTCTGAGGGGATTGCCAGTCCTCACAACTTAACTCTAATAACAGCTTATTCTACAGCCTCAAAGATCCGTAGGGGGAGTATTCTTCAAAGCCAGGAAGGAAAGTAAAGGATTTTAAATAGGGAAAGTCCTCAAATTAGAT